AGAGAGAGAGAGAGAGAGAGAGAGAGAGAGAGAGAGAGTTTAAATATTTTTTGTTTGTTCTTTTCAAGGCAGAATTTCTCTGTGTATCCCTGGCCATTCTAGAACTTTCTCTGTAGACCAGACTGGCCTTGAACTCAGAGATCCACCTGCCTCTCCCTCCTAAGTACTGAGATTAAAGGCACGTGGCACTACCCCCAGCTCGGCTTAAATTTTTTTTTAAAGAGAAGAATGGATTCCCTTGAGAACCCAGGTTTTGCTTGCAAGGCCTGTTGGTAAGAACTTGGAATGAAGAATTAGTTCTTCTGTTGTTACAGACAATCCAGTGGAAGCTGAATATCTAAAAATACCTTTTATCAAACTTGGAAAACTCTCTAGTCCCTGGTAGAGTCAGTGGTGGAAGAGCGAAGTGTTTGAGTATTTGTGGAGAACTTACAGTAAGTCAGGCACCATGCAAAGCAACACAGACAGTCCCCACATTCCTTCAAACACCCCCCAAACCTGGAAGGGAATATGTTGTATGGTGCGTAGATTCTCTAGACGCCACTGGTTGCTGGCCTAATTCAAGAAATTCAACGGCAATGAGAAACTTACTACATATTGGTGCCTGCAGTGTAGACATTAAAACAGAAATTAGTCAAGAGATAACACAGCCGAATTGTCAGAGGCCACTTACTTTTGCAGCTGTCGCCAGGACTGAATTTAAGCTCAGAGTTTCCTGGCCTGTAGTCCTGAACTCGGGTTTCAAAGTCACACCTCTGCCTCCAAATATATGAGGTAACTGATTGTTACATTTTTGGTCATCATAGAGATTCCAGAATGTCATAGCCACAACCATGTCACACTATGTCACGCTGGTAAGACTCTCAGTGCTACCACAGCCTTTGCTTTCTTCACCACTGTATCACAGGTTAGCTTCTGAAGTGATTTATTGTTTTTGCACTGTTTTCTAACCAGCAGAGGGAGCTGGGTCAGTGTTGATTAAAAAGAAAACGAACCAAAACCAACACTAAGAAACATGCTGGCGGAAAGGGACCATACGTCTCTGTTTGTGGTGTTCTTTGCTACTGATCAAGAAGGTGAAACCGGAAACTGGGAGTCACATAAGTACCCAGGTCCTGTTTCTCGAGTCATGGCATGTGTCATCTTCATTATTCCAAGGGTTTGGCTATTATTAGGTACTTTCTTCCCCCAAGATTTTATTTTAGAGTCAGACATGTTAGTATACTCCCTTTAATCCCAGAACTAGGGAGGTCGAGGCAGGACAGATCTCTGTGAGTTGAAGGTGAATCTGTCCTACAAGAACCAACTTCCAGATCAGTAGGGTCACATAGCAAGATCCTGTCTCAAAACATTTTTTAAAATGTATTTTGAATTATGTGTGTGTGTGTGTTTGTGTGTGTGTGTGTGTGTGTGTGTGTGTGTGTGTGTGTGTGTGTGTGCAGGTGCTTACAGAGACTGGACATGGGCATCAGAGCTGGAATTACAGGTGGTTGTGGCCCTCATGAAATGGGACTATCCACCTTCCATGTTAGTTACTTTTGGTTGCTGTTATAAAACACCGTGGCAGAAGGTGACTTAAGTTTATTTTGACTTGCAGTTCCAGAATGAGAGTCCATAATAGTGGGGAAGGCACAACTACAGGTGGCCTGAGCAGGAAGCTGCAAGATCACATCTAAACTGCACACAGGAAAGAGGGGGCAAACTGGAAGCAGGGCAGGGCAATAAACTCTCAAAGTCCACCTGTGGTGATGTACTTCTTCCAGCAAGGCTGCATGTCCTAAAAGTCCCATAACCTCCCCAAACAGCACCATCCACCGGGGACCAAGTGTTCAAATAAATACATGAACCTACGGGGGACATTAATCACTGAAACCATTACAGCTTCCTAATAGTTTAGTTTGCTTTGCTTATTTTTCATAAGGTAATGAGCAGTTTGGAAGCTGCTCATCTACCCAAGAGCAAGATCTTTATAGTTATTTATATCTCCTGGAAGTTTCTCCTATGTGCTGGATAGTTTCATGTCAAATTGACACAAGTTGTGTCATCTGAGAGGTGGAGGTCTCAATTGAGACAATGCCTCCACAAGCCAGAGCTCTAGGCAGACAACTCGGTAGAGCATTTTCTTAGTGAGTGAGTGACGGGGAGGGCCCAGCCCTTGGTGGGCGGGGCCATTCCTGGGCAGGTGGTCCTGGATTCTATAAGAAAGCAGGTTGAGCAAGCCCTGAGGGGCAAGCCAAGAACAGCTCTCCTTCATTCGCTCCCACCTCCAGGTTCCTGCCTTCCTTTAATGAACTTTTCTTCTCAAGTTGCTTTGGTCATGGGTTTCATCACATCAACAGAAATCCTAAATAAGACACCGTAGCTCACCATCCTCATCTGTCTCGTGCAGGCAGCCACAGCTGAAGTGTGCTCATAATTGCAGCAGCCATGCCATACCCAGAAATCACATTTCATAGCTCTCCCCTGTCTCTGGCTCGTGCGGTCTTTTTGCTCCTTCTTCTGCAATGTTCCTTGGTCCATGGAGAGAGTGTCAGGCATGTTAGCATTGTCAGAGGAAGAACTGTTGAACTAATAAACGAAGGGTAAGTATACACAAACTAAAAACTTCAGTATTTCAAAGAAATTTTTTTTCTGTTTTGAGACAGGTTTCATGCTGTACATAGCACAAACTATTTTTGAACTCACTATGTGGCCAGGCTGTCCTAAAACCTGCCACGGTACCTCTGCATCAGTCCCTGAAGTGTGTCAGGGATTACAGGTGTGAGGCACCATGCTCAGTTGTTGTGTCTTATTGGGATAGAGTCTTGATGTGCAGATCTGGGTGGCTTCGTACTTGTTATGCAGGCCAGGCTAGCCTGGAACTTAACAGTGACCTTCCTCCTTCAGCATCCTGCACACTGGCATTATGGATGTGAAGGGCCACATCCACATTTGTGGTTTTATTTTTTAAATAATTTATTTTTATTTTAAATACATTACTGTTTTTGCTTTCATGTATGTCTGTGTGAGGGTGTCGAATCCTCTGGAAGTGGAGTCACATAGTTGTAAAGTGCCAAGTGGGTGCTGGGAATTAGACCCAGGTCCTGTGGAAGAACAGTCAGTGCTCTTAACTGTTGAGCCATCCATCTCTCCAGCCCCTTATTATTTTTTTTAATGGTTCAGAATTTTAAAGGTCAAAATGAGCAGTTGTTTTCTACTTCTATTATTCAATACATTGTTCTGTCCCCCAAGGTAAGTTATTAATATCTTATGTACATTTTTAAAAAAATATTCATTTATTTATTATGAATATAATATTCTGTCTGTGTGTATGTCTGCAAGCCAGAAGAGGGCACCAGACCTCATTACAGATGGTTGTGAGCCACCATGTGGTTGCCGGGAATTGAACTCAGGACCTTTAGAAGAGCAGGCAATGCTCTTAACCACTGAGCCATCTCTCCAGCCCCTCTTATGTACATTTTATAAGCAACAGCATCACACATCTGTTATCTCCCTATTATCACACAAACTGCAGTATATTACACCCAGTGTTCTACATTTGCTTTGAAAACTTAAGGACATAACTTCTGTTATTCTGTTCCATATTTTTATATGGAGACTCCATGTGTGGTTTCTGATCACCCTCTATTTAGACAATAGATAGCAACAACTAAAGATTGTTAGGTATATTTTTTAAGATGAGTCTCTCCACAGATGCAAATATTGCCCACATTTAATGCAGTGCTCTCGGGCGACCAAGAAAGCATGGTGAGAAAGAGAGAGCAGGGGAGACCATGCAAACCCTGAGACCACATGTTCCTTTTTTGGGCAGTAGGCTAAATAGCTTGTGGGAGTGGTCCACCATTTGGCAGGCTTTTTTTGACCCTCCCTAGGGAGAGGTCATTGCTTGACAGGCTTTCCTGGAGGTGGAGTCCAGACCAAGGCAGCTCCCAGGGGAGGGGCTTGAAATGGAGCTTCCTGCTCCATTCCTGCTCTGTTGGCACCCCAAGGATGAATGCCAGGGGCTGGGGTGATGCTTTCAATCAGTCATCCCTATATCCTTGGATATAAGGGTATCAGGGAGCTGGGGTCTCACTTCCAATCAAAGACTATGACAGATCTGTTATTTCTCACCTGTGAAAGCCTATCTGTAAGACAATTTCCTGGGATATGTTTGCTGCACAAAGATACAGTTCTGGATATAATTTTAGTAAAGATTTTTTTAAACTTGCAATCTGCAGAGCCTGTAATGAATATATACCCTTGCATTGTATGAAAGAATGCAAGCTTGGTATGACTGTGCACACCTATAATCTTAGCACTTGGGAGGTTGAGGCAGAAGGATCAAGGTTCAAGGTTATCACGGCTACACAGAAAGTTTGAACCATAAGAACCTGTCTCAAAAGCAAACAAAGCAAAACAAAAACAAAAAAGAGATAGCTCGGTACATAAAGGCCCTTGCTTCTAAGCCTGATGACCTGAGCTCAGTCTTGGGACCACACAGTGAAACGAGAGAACTCACTCCCAAAGTAGTCCTTCGTCTACTTCACATGTGCTGGGCTCCATGTGTACCCATTCTCAAACACACCAGTGCCTGCACACATATAAAATAAATTAATATAACTTTTATGTATTTATTTTTAATTATTTTTATTATGTATCTATTCTTAAATTAATGTAATGAAAAGTAATTTCCATCTTATTTTCTCTAGCCTCTCAATGACAATGTTTTGACATTTTCCTACTGGGCTGTTGATGATATATTTAGGTAAAGAAGGATTTCAACTCTTGCCCCTAACTTGTGTGATTTTTCAGGCATGGCTCCAGGTCATCGCATAGGCTTTATCTGGCAGGTGTCACCGAGGAATGTGACCTTCCCTTTGCCTGCATTGCACACCCATCACATCGTGGTTGCTGGAGGGAGCTTCTGTCAGAGACTATAGGCAGTGTTATAATTACCTTTCTATTGCTGTAACCATGACTAAGCATAACTAAGGTAATTTATAAAAAAAGAGTCTGATTGGGATTATGGTTTCAGAGGATTTTATCAGCCCACGATGGTGGAGCAAAGACATGGCAGCAGGAACATGAGAACTAGGAGTTCTCACATCTCAAACTAGGAGTTAGAGAACACATTGGACATGGCAGAGTCTTTTGAAACCTTTAAGTCTACCCCCCAGTGACACACCTCCTCCAACAAAGCCATACTTCCTAATTCTTCCCAAACAGCTTTACCCACGAGGGACCAAGTATCTAAACACATGAGTTTAAGAGGGGAGGTAATTCTCAATAAAACCATCATAATCAGTTTGAAATTCAGCTATTTTGTTAGTTTGCAAAATATTTAAATTGTAATTAAATACACATTATACAGGCCTGTAAGCCCACCATTCAGGAAGTGGAGGCAGGAGAACTGGGAGTTCTAAGCTGGGATACACACACACACACACACACACACATACACACACACGTCTTCCTGTTTGTTCGTTCTATTAAGGTACAGTCTTATATGTCCAACTGGCCTTCAATTGACTGTGTACCCAAAGGTGGCCTTGAACTCTTGATTCTCCTGCCTCTACTTCTTAAACTCTAGGATTACAGATGTGTACCACTATGTCCACTACACTAAGTCAAAAACAGCAAAACAAAATAATCCCAAATCTGGGCATGGTAGCACAGGCTCATCTAACAAATTTGAGTTTGAGGGTAGCCTGGGGTACACGAGATAAGACCCTTTTCCAAAAAAACAAAACAACAGCAAATTATCCAGGAACACCAT